CCCCAAAACCCCAAAACCCCAAAACCCCGCTTCTTTGGATCTAGAGTACTAATTATGAATTTGAATTTTGAATTCTAATATTATTTAAATATCTATCTTGATACTAACTTACCGAAATGAGTTATTTCTTTGATAACCACCTTAGTTTGGGCCACGAACAAGCCTTATGTTCTGCTTGGTCTAATACTGACTTTAACATGATTCTTGCTGTCTCTACAAATGCTCCACACATTCTGTTTGTGCAAGAAGAGGGAAACATTGTCCCTAACTTTGAAATTTCAAGAGGAAAAATTAAGGCAGTATCCCTAAAATGGCATCCTATATTCTAAGCTCTAGCAATTGGTTGGGAAGATGGTAAATTGTATACTCTTTATATTATCAGGCGCTATCACATTATGGAATGAAGATGAAAGGCTAACAAGAGAGGAGAAAGTTCTACACAAGGCATCGATTGCAATTATAACTTTTAGTGCTGATGGATCTAGAATGGTAACTGGTGATGCTAAGGGCATGGTAGGAGTATGGAGAACACACAGAGGTCTTACTCCAGTCTGTTAGTATCAAAAGGAAGGTACTATTACTAACGTAGTCTTCTGTTCTTTGATGCTTAACTAAGAGTATTTTGATATATAAATGTAACATTTTTAGAAATCCAACAGGGGATAACACCAACTCCCTCTTCTTTTTTGGAGGCACTTCAGGGTCTGTATGCTTGGCCGATGACTTAAAGAACTGCTCTGAAGTTTGTAAGGTCCCAGGTAGCGTCAAAACAATTTTGTTCTATGAGAAAGAAAATAGCGTTATCATTATCACCTCTCATTTGCTTCTTGTATAATTCAAGTTGAATCTATCAGAAAAGCTCGTACCAGATCGTAAAGTTAAACTAGCAGTCGCTGGAAACCCAGAATTTTTATCAACTATTTGGGCTGGCTAAGGATTACTAGCAACTGTCTCGGGTGAAAATATGATCCGTATGTTCAATATTGAGCAAGATGAAAACTACGTTTTAACATTAGCAGAATCTGCCTTCTAAGGCCTATTGTTTCAAGACAAAATCGTATCAATAGCATACAATCACAGAAGAAGAATTCTCTCTGGAGGTACCAAGAATGGTTATATTGTAATGTGGAGATGCAAGTAGATGAGTGCAGAGAGTCCTATTTCAAGTGAGGGTTGGGATGCAAGAACTCCAATCAAAGCCTAAGGAGGTCCCCTTACTAAGCTTGAATGGGGAGGAAACTAATAAATTCTAGCTGCATAATGGAGTTAAGGTATTACAGTACTTAACCATACAATCCTTAAGAAAAAGATGAAAGATAACTTCAAAATGATGCAAATATCAAACAAAGCTGTTGAGGTAAGATTAAAGAATGAATCATCTCCAAACACTGATTATCAAATTATCATGACTCTTGGAATGAACATCAAAGGTATTGATTGCTGCAAGAATAATACTCTTTTCTGGAATGGCAAGTTCGCTTAAATATATGAAGTTCAAGGATAAAAAGGACCAGTCATTGCAGGAAATTTTGAGTCCCATGCAACAGTTATGGCATTGACAGAGGATTCTGTCATCCAAAATGAAGAGAATAAGATTTAGGTTTGCTCATTTTCAGGAGAAGTTAAGCAGGTCATACCGATGACAGAAAGTGAAGGAGAAGTTATTCTGATTGATATCAAAGGAAGATTCATGGCATGCATTACATAAAACAACATGATAAAGATCTTTGATATCTCAAGACGCCAATTCAAGTAAATTGGAGTGACTAGAAAATTTGAGATTAAAAATGGAGAACCTTTGGGAGAAATAAAGGATATTCAACTAAACTGTGAAGGCAAAAAGTTATGTATCTTAGCTGACTAATCACCATTCCCATCAATTAGAATTCCTGATACTAAATTCTACATATATGATGTTGATATGGATAATTTTATGGAGATGGAAGTTGGCTAAAACAGAGTACCTACAGAATGCTTCTGGGATTAAAGCGATCCTAGACTTCTTTGTGTTGAAACTGAATACATTAAGGATATCTCCAAAAATGGATTTGATGGATAAGACGTAGCTAATTAAGAAATCATTGGAGGAATTAATGCAGATGAAATTGAGAATGATTTCAAGAAAAAGGAAGAAGATTTTACTGGTAAGACTCTTGAAACTTTCTTTGTCACAACAGACTATAAAGTCAAAAGATAGGACACAGTAAAATTCGAAGAGGGTGATGAAACCCTACTAGGCCTTCATGTTCCATTTTTCTATTTTATGGGTAGATAAATCGATGAAAATGAAGAGGAAAATAATGCTGATGAGGAGAAAGTACTAGCTCAGAATAATCAATCAAACATGATAATTCTGAGAAGACCAATGAAAGACTTTATTGGCTTAGAAAATGTAGATGATGCAACTAAGAAAGCCATCATGAATTTTTCATTCTTCTTAACAGTAGGTAATATGGATGAAGCATATAATAGCGTTAGAAATATTAAAAATAACACTGTCTGGTAAAATATGGCTTAAATGTGTGTGAAAACCAAAAGACTCGATGTTGCCTAGGTATGTTTAGGTAATATGAGATTTGCAAGAGGAGCTAGAGTTGTCAGAGAAACTGAAAAAGAGAGAGAAATCGAAGCAAGACTAGCTATGGTTGCCATCTAATTAAATATGATTGATGATGCCAAGGATCTTTACAAAGAATGCGGAAGATACGATCTATTATGCAAGTTACATCAAGCCTGCGGAGAATGGGATGAAGCTATCGAAGTTTCAGAGAAGTTTAATAGAATTAACCTAAAGAATACTCACTTTACTATGGCTAAGCATTTTGAATCAATCGGTTAAATCGACGATTCCATTAGACATTACATATTGAGTGAAACTCATAAAACTGAGGTACCAAGAATGCTAACTGCCCTTGGCTAATTTGATAGACTTTAAATCTTTGTCTCAAGCTAAAAAGAGCCAGAGCTCTACAAATGGTGGGCATAATATCTTGAAGCTTAGGGAATTATCAACGAGTCTCTAGGTTTCTATAGATTAGCAAATGATTATGGAAGTATAGTTAGATTATTATGCTAAAATGGAGATATCTCAAGTGCAATGAAATTAGCCCTTGAAACTAATGATCCATAAGCTTGCTTCCATCTTGCAAGACACTATGAATAGAATAATATGATTAGAGATGCCATTGTTTATTATTCAAAGTCTCAAAGACTTCATCACGCAATTAGATTAGCAAAAGAATGTGGCTATGATCAAGAAGTTATGACTATGAGTTTAATTAGCAGCAAGTAAATTATGGTTTAAAGCGCAGCCTATTTTGAAAAGAAGGGTAAATATGACAAAGCTGTATCTCTTTATATGAGAGGAGGAAACAAAAAGAAAGCTATCAATTTGGCAATACCTCATAACATTCCTATTGATGATTTCCCATCAGCCCCGACAGACAATGATGATCCAGAAACCCTAGAATCCAGTGTCTAATTCCTGATTTAAAACAAGCAGTATGATAAGGCTGTTGAGGTTATGATCTAACTTGGAAAGTTCTAAGAGGCACTTGATCAAGCTGAGAAATTCAACATATCATTGAAGGAGGAATTCGCTATGAAACTCATCCCACCCATGCCTGCTAATAATGATGCTTACAAGACTAAGGAAAGAAAAGAGATTTGCGTTCGATTGGCAAAATTATGCAAAAGACAGGGAGACTTTAAGCTGGGAGGTAAACTCTATACATAAGCAAATGAGAAACTTAAGGGAATGAAATGTCTTCTTAAAAGTGGAGATGTAAAGGCAGTTATTGGATTCGCTTCAAATGCAAGATAGCCTGAAGTCTTTGTACTAGCTGGAAATTTCCTACAAAATTAAAACTGGCACAATGATCCAGAGATCATGAAGACAATCATTCAATTCTATTAAAAAGCAAAAGCATTCGAGAGTTTGGCAAATTTTTATGATGCTTGTGCTTAAGTTGAAATTGACGAGTACAGAGATTACGAGAAAGCTTTAGGTGCTATGAGAGAGGCTCTTAGGCAATTAGAAAAGGCAGCATCAGCTGCAAACAGGGAGATGAAGCTGAGAATGCTCAAAGAGAGAATTGGCACTATTGAGAGATTCGTCTAAGCCCGTGAATCTTTAGCTGCAGGAGATACTGCCACTATGGTTTAAATTTGTAATTCACTAGTTGACCAACCAGGAGTAGAGGACGCTATTAGATTAGGTGATGTCTTTGCTTAACTTGTCGAATTTTATTCTCACAACAGGCAATATCAAAATGCCCTTTAAAATATTGAAAAGATGAGAAAGAAGATAGTAAATATTACCCCATATCTTGATCCTTCGTTGGTTGAGGAGGTTTACTCTTAGATGGGAGTACCACTTCCAGGAAAAGCTAAGGCATTTAATGATGGTATTGACGAGGACATTAAAGAGGAATACTGATTAAATAGGAACTTTAGTGATAAATAATTACAAAGTTATATAAACTTAATTTCATTAATTATATTTTTACCACAATTAACAAATACTAATAATAAATAATTTTAAAACAATCATAGACTTCGTTGTCGGAGAAAAATCGTCTCTAAGCCAAATGAGTTTCAGAAATTTTCGAGAATTAAAACGAGCTAAATTTTATATGGAAAAATTCAAAATTAATGCAAATTAGTTAAACAGGATGATGCGAGATAAGAATTTCAAATAAGAATTGCAAGAAGTAGCACTAAATAAAGTGAAATAGATCAAGGAAACCCCGATGCCCAAATACTATAACTTAAAGTCTATGCTAATGATTGCATTTGGAGGAGTCGGGTTATCACTAATGCTGAAGTATTAATCGCAATTTCATGACTATCTGCCTAAGAGACTTCATATCAATTAGCCTTATCCTGAAGACCAATTTAAAGTGAACATGGGGAAATAATCACTTTATTTCTACAGTTAAAGTCTATACTTTTAGGCTTTGAGTGGGTGGAGTATTATATTTCTAAAGAGATCAAGAATGGTATCACCGTTGACCTATTTGATGGCCTCGGTAGGATTCTTAGTAGGAACGTACTTAATTGATTACTATAAGCATCCAAATTTGAAGCACAGTCTCTGGTTTTTATTCAATATCAGCACAGGTGCTATATTAGGATCATACTTCTACTAGCAAAATTTTTATGTCTTAATTGATGCTCTGTATTTGATCGGAAACTGCATGACGTTTTATGCAGCATCAAACTATTATAATGAAGGTGAAAATAAAGGTATGTTAGCAAATGCTTTAGGGTCAGCAGTATTTGGAACATTTTACGGCCTCGGAGTTTTGAGATTGTTTAGATGGGGATTTAAGTTAGATGATCCGAAGTTATTTATGATAGTTGGTAGTTGCCTAGGAATTTTGATGTCTTGGTCAATTCACAGATCAATATGTGTTTAAGATGAGTATAATTAGAATGATTACAATCCAATTAATGCAGCTTTATCTTTTGTTTGGAAGTAAATTCCCTAGGTGAGTGTTTTTGTAGATGCTTTTTATCATAATAGAAATTAAGATAGCTATAACAAAAATAAAGAGAACAATCAAAAATCCTGGAATCAACTCAACACTCTCAAAGTACAGGTTAATTAAGATGCTATTGATTAATTGTCTAAAGTTATTGATAATCAAAAGGCGATTCTTTTGAAACTACTTAAAAATGATAAGATTGCTGAGGGATGTTCAAATTAAGAGATAAATAATATGAAATGATTTAACTATGACAAGGATAAAGCATTTGTAATTTTAAACATTCTAAGTTATAATTAATTCGATTCAATATTTCAAATGAATTAAGCCATATTAAGTGGATTAAAACTTAAATAGTTTAAGCATTTATCATCAATTATGCTTTCTGGGGTTTTGGGGTTTTGGGGTTTTGGGG